CGTACCTACAAAGTTAGAGAGGTGCATATGACATGCCCAAGTTCAGGTGAAAAACTCCTTACCCAAGTCTTTCACCTGTTACATATCTACAAAGTCATAGGTTCACATGAGAGACAAGGGGGTAAGGTGTTTTTCACCTGAACTTGGGCATGTCATATGCACCTCTCCTGAATATCATTATTACTCTGACTCCCACCCTGGAGTATGTGGAGTTGTTTCCGGACTATGTCTGCAGGTGGCACAGTGAACACACTCCTGAATCAACTGCAGATAGTGTTTATGACTAATTGAAATGAATTTTGTTTGTTCAGGATACTCAGACGGTTCACTCCGTCTGAAATGACCTGTCCTGTACTGACGAGGAGCAAATACTCCGAAACTGGTCCCAAAACCAGTTTATCGGAGGTCGTCCCGACCAAATGAAATGAATTTCTACTTTTCATATATAGGAAGTTATTTGTGGCAATTCTTCCAAATGGTAGATGTTGAACAGGTGCCTGATGGTTTTAGTTCAGTTTTCTGTGCAGCATAAGTTGGGTTAATTGTTGTTTTTCCGTCAGGTATCTTCCACACGTACCTACAAAGTCATAGGATCATATGAGAAGCAAGGGTATGGTGTTTTCATGCCCTTGCCTCTCATGTGAACCTCGTATTTTGCAAGTACATGTGGCAGATATCCGAACAACAACTAACCCAGCTAATGTAGCACAGAAAGTTGATGTAAAATCATCTGGCACCTGTGTGATGTCTTCCATTTTGATGATTTGTTACAAATAACTTCCTATATATGAAAAGCTGAAATTAATTTTCCTTGCTCGGAATGACCACTGATAAGATCAGTTTTGGAGTATTAACTTCTCGTCAGTACCTATCAATATCAATATCAATTCCAAGTAGTCATTAGCTCTGTCTGTAGAAGCATTATTTATGGCCCATTTCAAAATTCTTTGAGCAAATGTAATGAACCTTTTATCTATCTGAGACCTATTTCAGACATTATTATTGTGTTGACAATTTCCAATACAACTTTATTTTGTCTTTATGGAAATAAAGTATAATTATTATTATTAATAAATTACTCCTTACAGCACTCATTCCGTCAGCCCAGTCTCCGTGTCCTCTCTGTAGCATTTTCACCCGCTCCATATCAGAACAAATCTGTACGACGTCACCAACTGCGAATTGCTGTTGTGGAGTTTCATTGAAGCCAGCAGAGTTGGTTGGTGTAGCAACTTTTGTCAGCACAGCAGGGTTGAAGGTCCACCTAAAATTTGAATCGCAATCAAGTTTTTGTTGATTAAATTCAACAAATGAATCCTGAATAGAGAATGAGGATCTCATACTGAGTTTTCTTAGGAAGTCAGAATATTTGTCAAAGACGGCAAATAGCAGCTTTGATTTTCATTTGAAAAATGTTCAAAAGTTCAATTTTTAGGTGTTGAATAGCACTAAAAACTGTCTTTTCAATGGAAGTTCTTGCCCAAAACTATTTTTTTTTAATTTGCAGTTCACACGGCAAATCAAAAGTATGTAGAAAAAAAATATTAGTCCTCGAAACGTCCTTATTAAAAAAAAAAGACCTCAAATCAGTTGAAACAGACCTCATTTTACTTAAGAAAAATTGCCATTTTATGTTATAATGTTGGCAACACATGCTGTCGAGTTTATTGTCAACTGTGGTATTATAAACACCTATCTATATGTATTTAATCCAACATTTCACCAATAAGATCCACTTACTGAGTATTGAAGCAACAAATGAACTTGAAATATTCGAAAATAGTGTTAGAATTGCATTTTTCCTGTTGTTATTAATACAATAAAATACAATTGTTATTTGTGCTATTGATACCTAAACTCACATTTGAATTTCGCTGTTATTATCTTAGTTTATTCACTTGTATTTGTTGTTCTCCATAAATAAGCTATTAAGTATAGGGTTGCCAACTAAACAAAACCCCATTTCCACTTATTATCTTTGTCGAAATGGAAACCCTAAAATCTGTCGATAGATTTACCAATTCGTTGCTAGTTTCAGATCTTGGAGAAAAATGTGTATGTTCACATTTTCTGATACCAAATAATACCTTTTGAATATACGAATAATTATCAAGAGTTGATTTCATTGTCATTTCTGAGAAAGAATATGACAATGGATAGATGTAACAACGTATATTTTAATGTTTATGAGTACATTTTCTTATGTCAACAACCAAAGTTTTTCCTATGCCTGACTTTCAACCTACAATAACTAGATGTCACCCACTCTGTGGTTGTCCCAAATAAAAGCAAAAAATATATCAACTATGAAAAATCTTTCTTCTTTTCTGTTGATTTTTGAAATCTAACACGATATTTGTTGAATGAATTAGTCCATTTCTCTCACCTGTTCCCACTGCTGTAAGCAACAACGATATCATGATCTTCGTCTATTCCGACCACAGTTCCAACACTATTCAAGCACTCAAACATTCCATCTGTCCATCCTCCATGTCCGTGCTGCAGGGATTGAACAATTTCTAGTTCCAAGTCAACATTCACCTGTGAAACAAAAAGCAGAGGTTATTGATTTCATAACCAGAAAATCAGTACCTTTCCTGGGGTTATAGTTATCAAATTGTGTCGGATAGTATATATATCCTGTTTTATTTGACCTTGCTAATTTCAAGAAAATATAAATCACTTGTACAAAAACAACATGAAAAATAAAAAATCAACAGATTGCAATCTGGTCTATCCCACTTTCAGAAACATGTCAATGTCATAGGACATTAACATATTTTGGTGAAACAACCAATAACTTCAATTGTTTTTTGAAAAGGACAAGGCTAAACGGATGAATGATGATTCCAAAAAAATGTATTAAAAACAATATAGACAAACCTTCAGCATCAGATAGATTAGATTTATATAACTTGACTTTCGGTTCTTGCCCAAAACTTTATAATGACCAAACAGAAAATATTCTGCCAAAAAATAAAAGAACACCCATTTACACATTGACAAACCATCTTTTGACAGAAGAACAATAGTACAATCATGACTATGAAGTATTATATTTCAAAGAGGAAAGTTTGAAACACAAACTCTTGGAATGCTTCAAAATTGATAGATTTGAAAATTCTGAAAATTTACTGAATGACCAAATAGAATTGAACTCTTCATCACTTCGGAATCAGTTTTCTAATGTGAAAATTCAAGTAACTATGACTAGTTTCTTGGCTTTGTGGAACTTCAAGCTATTTCTTCGTTGTACCATAACTAACCAGAATATCTGGTTTCTCAACATCTGCATCGAGAAAGAAGTGTTTTCAACTTATATTTGACTTTGATAAAACCAATATTTATTCAAGTGAAAAACTGCAGACTAATAACATACTTCATATAAAAAAAATCTTTGAAAAAGTATGAAAGTATAATTTTTTATGAAAAGTTTGTTTTTCATTGATAATGAAATTGTTTCATTTGCAATTGGTAAAATAGTGACCTACTTGCTGGTTACTTTTGTGTGAATGAAAAACAATAATGGTGTTTGAGATTGCAAGTTTCCATTCTTTCCAAAGCAATAATAACCTTAAACTGATACAGAAATGCAATTTTCACACCTACTATATATTATGTCAATGTCAATTTTCTGAAAAATTGGTGTTTTGAAATTATACCTGGTCTCCAATTTTCAACCCTGGAGGTGCAGATCTGCCAGGTCCCTGTTCTCCCAAGCAAGGTAAGTGATCTCGATAAACATTCTGGCCCTTGGCATCGTTAACTACTTTCAAATCAGCCATTCCTTCAAATCCAACTCGATACAAGTTTTTGGAGCCATTATCCCAAACAATATAAGCAGCTGATCTGGGACTGGCTGCTGACCAATCTTGAACCTCTTGTACTTTGCCCCGACGTCCGTTACCCCCATCTTGATCTTCCCACTGCCAGTCAACTCCGCGCACTACACGAGCCCCGGGAAAGATTCCACGTATCGCGATCTTTTTCGTTTTGCGACGAGTTTCCAGGTAAACACGTTCACTACCTGGGGTTGTTATACGATAAAAGCGATGGCGGAGCTGGTGTTTGTCTCCGTGGTAGCAAACGGAGCATAGATCATAGTTGCCACATTCGGCGCATTTCCAACGGATACCGAATATTGGCTGCTGCCTGCAAGTGTCGCACATCGTTCCTTCATGCTTCGCCCCCGTAGGAGCGCTGTCGAGGATTCTCAAATCGTATTGCCCCGAACACCTATAATTCGCAGCCGTTCCGTTGTCCCAGACTACAACAACCTCATCAGGAGATTCGAAATTTCTCACAGTACCAACGTGACCCTCTCCTCCGTCCTAAAATTCATTCAAATTAAAGTTATAGTAGATTTTCAAAAATCATAACCTAACCTGTTTTCCCCATTTCCAATCAGGGCCTCTGATAACTCTGGCACCGACGCCTTCCATCATTCTTGGATTTCGAGTCACCCCAGGGGTTGTGCCCACAGCGTTTGCTATTTCCATTTTCAATGAAAAAAATTGAAAAATACACCAACTTCAACAATAAACAAACCCCTCTCCAATCTTGACTGACTGCGGTTACTTTAGCTTCTTCAGTTTGAAGGAACCATTAGATGTTTCGCTTTTCCCAATATTATAGAAAAGGATAGTAAATATCACTCACTACGTTTATGTAGGTGTATTCAATGTGCAAAAAAAGATACAGATGTTGAGATTTACCCACAAAGCTTAACTTTATATTATGTTCTGTGAGGTCCTATGTTATTTTTCAAATGTTTAATTTCTCTGAAAAATAAAAATGCGTAAAGTTGGGGAAATCTAGGAAAAATGTACTGTTCAGTTTAATTTCCAACCAGACCTTCAATAATTAATCCTAATTTTTATAGATTTTTCGACAAAATATCCTAAAATTCATGTTACTGGCATTGTTTTTCAATTTTGTAAACTGTTGAGTGAAAAAATCAGTAAAGTATTTATTGAACACGCATCGTATTATGTTAAACTCAATATCGACATGATTTCAAATACATTCCAGATAATCTATTGTTAACTAATATTTCAACAAAATTTATCAAAATATTCTCATCGTACCTAGCTAGGTACGATGAGAATATGTTGAAAATTTTGTTAAAATATTAGTTGAAGTCTCAACATGGATTGAGAACTGTTTTTTCGTGACGAAATCTGTTGTACAGAAGTGAAAATAGCGCAAACGGATGATTTCCAGTTTCCCAAACCTTTGGCTTGGTATATAGACTAACCCCTAAACTCTGAAAACCGGTCAGAAAGCGGCATCTAGGTTTTTTAATTCTAACGTCAAACTCCGGGAAAACACTGGGTGAAAACATTAAAAAACTTGTTTGAAAAGAAAAAATCATACAATTATGGTCATTGATGAAAGAAATTATAGGCATTCAAATCCTATTTTTCTGATTCATGCATTTCATTTGTCTTCTGTACAAATATAAGTTATAGGTTATAACTAGTGAATTCAAAAGATGTTGTCCAGGGAACCGATGTTATACCCAGTTATATTCCAAAAATAGTTGTAGGATTCAGAATTGATACACCGATTGGCAAAATATCCACTTACTGTGATTTTACCTGTCCTCAAAATATTTTCATTTATTTATTAACTAATATCCAAGTTTTTTTTACATAGTTTTGCCACTCAATGGTTTTGCTTTGAGCTATTGCTATCTTCCGGTAATTGATCCATCGAAATAATAATGAAAATTGTTTTGCAATATTCGACGGTGTTATAGAATATATTACAATACCATAAAAGTAGGCACAAAATTCTCAGAATGATTGCATTAAAACGAAAACCTTGTTGTTAATGTTGTGATTTCATTAACATTTCTCCTCATCTGTGTAGTATAATTTCTGTACGCCACTGCAAGAGACAGATTAAAGCAAAAACGTCATTTCTGAGAATTCAGTGCCTACTATTTTGGAATCGTAGGATAGTTACATAGAATAACTTTAAAAACAATAGAATAACTTTAATGTATAGAGATACAAAGTGAAGTTACTTTCAAAATACTAATTAAAGCAAAAACGTCATTTCTGAGAATTCAGTGCCTACTATTTTGGAATCGTAGGATAGTTACATAGAATAACTTTAATAACAATAGAATAACTTTAATGTATAGAGATACAAAGTGAAGTTACTTTCAAAATACTAATGTTAGACAACTTTTGCAAGTGACGTTATTAAATTTTTATGTCTGCCAATGTTTGCTACATTTTTAATACTTTGGACAGCTTTCATTAGTGTATATTCAAGAAATATTCACTTTATGGAGTAAAATAAATGTTGTCAAAATACTTTTTCTATATCAGGCAAAACAAAAGTACTGATTCTGGGCACCCGTTTCGCTAACCAAGTTAACATTATCAGAAGATTACTAAAATTGTTTTGAATAGAGACAATTGGAACATTTTGGTCAATATGTTTTTGTACGCAAATGAAAAACGTGGGTTAACAAAAAATTGTTCTATATTTTTGGAACACTTTATATGCAGGACTTTTGTCAATCCATTAACAGAACAAATATCTAAATTTTCTTTATAAAAAAATTATATAATATCAAAAACATTGAAGTCACTGAATAAAATCAGTTACAACTCGGTAAAAAGCATTGTCCATCACTTCATTGGAAGTTTCCTTTATATATTACATATATATTGCAAATTATTTAACACTAAGTTTCCATATAGAATTAACACATTATACACTTTTAAATTCGGATTCGAGCGAATTGAATGGAAGTTTGAATTACGAGTATTACTTTGTCAAACAAAAAATAAATGTATTACTAAAAAAATCAAAGCGTCATGACATAGACAAAATATAATCAATACAAGAAAATGAGAAAAACTCGATAGAAAAAAAAATTAAAATTGCAATTTCTAAAATGAAACCAAGAACTAACACCTGAGACTAGTTTCTATCACATTCAGAAGATATCTGTAATACGTGGAATTAAATAATTCAGTTGAAAATAGAGTCAACAATTTTATCATGTTTATTTCAATTAAAATATCAATTGATGTTTTCTATACTGGAATTTGATACTTTTCATTTTGAAAATTGTCAATTGAATCATTTTCAAACTGTAATTTCATAGTTTTGGAGGAGTTGTATTCATTCCGAATATTATCAATAAAAAAATACTTCGTTATGTGGAAAGATGGTAGATACTTCACTAATTAGAATATAAACCCTTATATTTCATGGAATTAACCTAACATACAAATTAAAACTTCAATGCTCCCAAATTTACTGATATATAATTTCATTAAAAAATATTGATTCTTCAATTGGGAATTCCACTTGAAGAATTTTGAATCTGTTAACAGGTTTAAAAATTGTCAATTGATTTTTTTTCATTGGAAAAACCATGTTATTTTTTTTTTAATTTGAATGTGAATAACAATTGTTCTCTTTCAAACTTCCACCCAACATTTTGGATATATTCACATATATATTAAATTCATATTTTTACTTGAAGATAAGAAAAACATTCAACATTTGATTTCTATTGGGTCTTGAAATAAATATTAAAAATATTCACAATTCTGAAAATTATAACTTTTCTGTTCAACAAATTTAGAAAAAGGCTATACATTTTTTACTTGTAAAAACAACATGAAAAGGATATTTTACAGACAACAATTGAAATAACCATATCCAGTGTATGAAGAGTCACATGTTCAAAGCTTCACCTAACAAACTTTCATTATATCAGTGAACTTTCGAATGATGAGCTTTGAGATAACCGGGACTTTTGAAATACCTACTACATTTGTCACACTTAAAACTCCTATACAGAAACTGTTGTCTCAACATTGGATTAATGTAGGGATTGTCTCTTGTTCGACAACGAACATTTTGAGGTGAAAACGTCCTTCGGTGTGGATAACTACCTACAAAATTATTCAAAAAGTGTATCGAATCACTGGAAGAACTAACTTTGGCTACATGTTCGTTGTAACTTTGAGATGGGGAACAAAGATCAAAGGAATTATTATTGATAAATTCGTCATCACAATCCTCGTCCTTCATTTCCTGTTTGCACTCCACCAAATCACTCATATATTCCTGATCATTGTACTCTTCCTCAAAGTCTTCTGTTTTTATTTGGATATCTGGCTCCACAGTAACTTCTTCAAATTTGACAAATACATCTTTGGAATCTCTTTCTTCTGATGAAGTTCGGAAATTATTATCGTCATCTTCACTGTCAGCACTGTCATATAAATTGTCCTTGTTTTCTATGATGTACAAAATTGTGTTTTTAAACTCGGTGAAATCATTCCTGAAAAACTCATTGGAGAAAGCTCGCAGCTTCTCTAAGGGAGTCATTTCATAATTCGAATTTTTATCTAGATTCACTCCAAACTCGTAATTTTTGGTAAAATTAATAATATTTTTCAGACCACCGCGGCAAGTGTCTGTTGGTCTATTATCAGAATACCTTTGCCTGAGGTACAGAGACTTATCTCTTTCATGTTTATTGTTTTCTGCAGGTGTCAGTAACTGTTTCAGTAGTGAGCATCGCTGTTCCTTGGTTATTCTTCTGCGTTTCTCTCTACCTTCTCTTATTGTGGTGTATTCATTTTCACAGTTGTCCGGAATACACAATCCATTGTCTGAAATAGGTTCCACAATTACACTTAGCTCAGTGTTTATGAAAGATGGAATTATTTTTTCCTCGTCTTTTGATACTAATGCCCTCAAATAACCCTGTAGAGTTTTAGTAGATTTTTTACACATAGTCAAGAACTGATAGGAGACTCTTAACTTAGTTATGCATTGTAAACATATTTCGCTCGAGAAACTTTCCCTTGTGACAACCTGAGACAGAAAAATCAATAAATCAGGAGTTATGGAATGTTTTCTAAGTTTACCATTTTTGTACAATATTCCAGTTTATCGCTCAATTTCACCTTGTCGTAATCCACCGTGCTGAGATCTGTTAATTTTACATCCGTCTGAACACATATTCGACAAAATTTTGATAAAAAATACATCATTTATAAAAATATTAATGTCAATCATTCGTCGTGTCAAAGAATACACTTGTCAACTTGTCAATAAAACTATAAACAAAAACTTTGACAGTTTTACTGTATTCTTCTTCTTTTCATTGAAGACAACATAAACACTGAATATTTTTTTCAAGGTTAATTAGTGACATCATTGGGTGCGTTCAAAAAAAAATGTGTTACTTTTTTGGGTATTTTTGAATGCTCACACACATCAGTTGAAGAACAATATCCCTTCAAATGATACTCATAAAATTTCGTCTGAAAGAAAAACTTTCATGCTCGTATTCAATTCATTTTCATATTCACTTTCTGAAGTTACCTAATAGGATTTTTTTTCAAAACTCAATGAATTTTTTCCTCAATCCATTTTCAATCAGGTGAATCAATGGACCTTTTTACCAGTTCGTATCAGACAGAAACTTTCATTATATGATCTGCACATCATTTTGTAGACAGTTTATTTAGAATCCAATTGCTTTCTTCCTTACTCGGGTCGTTTCTTTTCACATTTTTTGAATATAGATGAGGAAAATAAGAGTGAAAAAGCTTATGTCTCCAAATTATTGATCTGGACTACTTCGAAATACAAATTCAGGTCTATTGAAAGAAAAGAAATAATAAAATTGTAATAAAATGTTTAGTAATCGTTAATTAGGGTCATGAATATTAAGCAAGAAAATTGGCTGATAGGTAACAACTCCATCCACTTGATTTCAATTCAAGAAAGGGTTGTTACCTTACAATATAAAAAATATTGAGGTCATCACAAATAATTCAAAACAACGTCATCATTTACTGAGCAAGGATTTCGGTAACTAATAATCAGTTGATACAATTTTTAATTTGATGTCGATAATAAAAGATGGAATAACAGTTCTTGCTCGTTATTCATGATTGCTCAAAGTTATGTTATTATTTTCATCATTATAATAACATACTTGATTATAAGAGACTGCTTGAATTGCCGAAGTGGCAACATGGCATGTGAAGTACTTTTTACCACGTTGCAAAACGGCAGACTTACGTTTGTCTACGTGTAAATCGTGTCATAAGATTTCATTCAATGAGTTATATGAAAGTAGTGTAGTTGGATGTTTGTCATTCTACTCGAGCAGATATACTTGAATTTTTCTATTGAGAGTGAAGTTTCCCGAATATAATCTGACAAAATGGTAAGTTATTTCAACAGTTCAGCGACCGTTACTCATCTTTACAATTTTTTTTGATTAGCCTGCTTCTCCAAGCTCAACAAATGTAGGCTCAGGAGGAAGATCTCCTTCAAAGGCTGTGGCACCTAGATCTTCTACAGGAGGCACTGTGAGGCAGAGAAAAACCACCACCACGACCACTGCTAGAAGAAACACGGGGGCTGGAACGGGTGGTATGTGGAGATTCTACACTGATGACTCTCCAGGAATCAAAGTGTGAGTGTATTTCGATTTCCATATGTTGTGTTTGTTAGATATGCTGAGAAGTTGTATTTTAATATATTTTCATTCATTCTATTGTAATGAATACAGAGTGGCACCTATTCTAAATATAACTTCAAATTTAAGAGTATGCAAATTTGCTATATAAATTTATATTTTTCAATATATGCCTCCAGTAGGTATCTAAATGCACAATTTCCCAACAGAAAAACAGGAGAACAATTATCTTTGATTTCTTTGTACATGAATAATAATAAATGTTTACCCTGGAATTAAATTAAGAAACTTGGAATGCATATGGGCTGAGGAAAAATTGATTGAAAATAAAAATTTGATTCCTGATGAAGAAACACATCTTATAATCAGTTCTCAAGAAAATATCAACTTTATATAAAAAAGGTTCAAAGGAATTGAATCATATTCTTTTATTAAATACTATAGAACTACAACAAATTACACTATATATAACAATGTGTTGTACATTTAACAATAATATTTTATTCAACGAAAGGCATTTTTTGTGGAGAAAAATCAGTTTTTCATCCACCTTTTTTGGGTATTTGATACCTTACACAATCTTCACGTTTCAGAGGCCAAAATGTGCCTCCGTCTCCAGAAAAGGACAAAAAAATTCTAAGATATTTGTAGTAATTCCTATAGATTATTTATTTCTTAACTTCTTCGACATCTGTCGAAATAGACAAAAAATTCTGAGATATTTGCAGTTATTCCTTTTGATTTATTTATTTCTAAGTAAATAATCAAAAGGAATGACTGCAAATATTTTAGAATTTTTTTGTCCATTTCTGAAGAAGGGGGCCTCCAAAACGTAAAGATTGTGAAAGGTAACAAATACCCAAAAAAGTCGATGAAAAATAATATTGTTAGGTAATTACTTGATTCATAGTTCAGTGGCGAAAATAAAAAACGATAAAAATAAAAAGAACAATAAAAATTAATTGGTGCTCCGGGGCGACTTCATTGACTCCAGTGGCGCATTTGTTTTTTCAGCTGCAGGAAAACCCGGAAAAACCTGCAGCTAATTACATTTTTTTAAATATCTTGAACTCCATTTATTTTTGGTTTATAGACTTTCATGTATTTTCAAATTAAAAAAATTATTAATTATTTATTATAAATTATTAATTTATGTTTCCTACTGTTTTTGGAGTATTTAACTTTCCACAATCTGTAAATCAAGAGATATTCTCCAATAGTGTAATGAAGACAAGCAGAAAAGTTCACCTGAAAAGTTTAGTTAAAGTTGCCGTATCCACAAATTTTGCCTTCAAATTGAATAATGTATTGGGAAAAATTAATTTTATAAACTCAGTGGTTATAGATCAACTTTTTACAATTCACAATGTATCAGATTCTCTATTGATTCAGCTTCATTTATTTTTCTGATTGTAGAGGTGTTAATATCCAGAAATGACAAGAAATATTGACTTTTACACTGAAAATCTGATATTCCAATATTTATTTTCAAGACTCGCAAAGAAACTTTCTCTAAGACATTTTGTTTCTTCCCAATTACTCTCCCTAAACATTATATCAAATAATTTAAATCAATTGATATATTTATTTTTTATTTACAGGGGACCAGTTCCTGTCCTTGTAATGTCTCTATTATTCATTGCATCAGTGTTCATGTTACACATATGGGGGAAATATAGTAGAAGCAGTTCATAGGTTAACAATAGGCATGTATCATTCCTTCCAATTATTTAATGCATTTTTCATTTACAAACATTTTATATTGTTACATTATTGTAATAGGTATGCAAAAGATGTTTTCATTAAATTTTTCGTATAAGTTGGATTTTTCTTTTGTGTTATAATGCCACTGACGATGTTAAAGACAATGATTTGAACGTAATGAATTCACAAAATAAAGTTTTCAAATGCATTTTTGATCTATCTTTCGTAGAACCAACTAAAAATCTTTTACTCGATATCAATTCTATTTATAAATTGAAAGTATGCCCCTTTCTGCTGTTATGAAGAATGAAAAACGGTCTATGAAATTTATATAATGGAAATTTACATGATCATCAAAGAAGACAGCTCATTAGTCTGTTAACAAAATATCTCAAATCTGTATTTTCCAGAAAAAGCCCTCTCGAAACAACTACTTTTATATAAACATTAAATTACACGAAAGAAAAAAATAGTTTGGAAACGACTACTTTTATATTAATGTTGAATTATACACAACACTTTTTCCTATTCTGTTTCTACTTCAAACATACATTATGGAATTGAGTCAGATATCATTCACAGGATTTCTGAATAAACTTGTACATGAAAGGTAATATTTTCATTACATGGAACATTTGTCATCCTCAATGAAGATATTAAACACTCTCCTAGTGCAGACTTTCCTGGTCTACTAGATGAAAATTTATCATGGAGAAAACAAATTGAAACAATATGAAAATAGCTCCTATGAATTTTATTCAAAATAGGAAATTCACTAGTTTATTCAAATATGCAATAACATTATTGGTAATGGCAACAAATTCCTACATGAAAGGTAATATTTTCATTACATGGAACATATAAAACACTTTTTTATATAAGGCTTCAACACTGATAACTTATTTCAATAATGAAAAAATACAAAACAACTAATTCGTTTTAATCATATATTCACAAAGCTGCGAACATTGTAGTAATTTCTTTTTTATAAAATTCTTCTATGGCTCTTCTCTTGAGTTTCATGCTTGCTGTTACCAACCCCGATTCTGGAACCCATTGGTCTGTAACTAATTTCACTACTGCAGGTACTTCGAATTTGGCCAGATTCACTGAAAGGAAATTGAATTATTTAAATATTGGGAAATTTGTGGTGGATTGTTGATCTATTTAACTCAATTAACAGTGTCTAAGCTATTTTTGGTTTTAGTCTGCAGATTTCTATGCCTGAAGTTCCGCCAACAATTGCGGTAGCCATTGTCAAAGGCGAAAAAACCTGGAGAATAGCTTTTGATATAATTGTTCCTGACTGAAAGTTACTTACATTCTTCGACAAAATAAATTAGTGCAGACTTTTCAATATTGAAATACCGGCTAACATTCACTTCATCCCATACGACCGATTTTGATATTTATATTTTTGAATCCATACTAGGAATCGCACATTAATACGCAAGACCTCGTTAAGTATCAGCTCCGACAAATGTCGACTTTTGGGGTTAGAGGTTAGGTTTGAGTTGAGTTCAATTCAGCAATTGATTATTGAAACTTTTTTGTAGGAAAGCACAGAAGTGCCAAAAAATCAATATTATTTTTCGACAAGTCACACTTATAACTGTGAATTTACAGTTATGTGTTCACAGTTAAACCGAGAAATGGTCAAACTCCCACTTATAACTGTAATTACGTTCGGCAACTATGTTCAACTACAACATTTAAAATATGTGATTTGTTAAAAGTTGCCCTAACTTCTGGCGTAAAATGTTTCTTTGTCTGTCTGTCTGTCTGTTTAAAATCTGTTTTCCGTTAACCAGCTGTCGCACCCCTACGAACGACAACCCTCAGAAGCCGAAACTTGTGCGAGCTAAGGACTAACGAGGTCTTACCTTTTAACGTGTGATTCCTAACACGGGTTGGACGATAGTAAGTGAAAACTGATCGTTCAGCCTGGGGTTTGAACAACCGATCAACACGGCGGTCGATTTGAGTGAGTGAACAAAGCACCCACGTCGAACCGACCGACTACTGTCCGACGTTTTAAAAGGGAAATAAAAAATATAAACAACATTGAAATCAGTCGTGGGCACTAAAGACGATTTCTATCTTTGATTTGAAAAAATATTCGTTTCAAATAGGCCATTTTCCAAAAAAATAGAAATTTTCCCTTCAGAAAATATTCATACTTTTGCTCAACATCAATTGATTACCTTTTTTAGCATGTGTTTGTATCTCTGCTAGCACAGCTTTTGTGATACCAGAATCTGCACACAGTTCTCTCAATGATTTGCCCTGCACCCCCACCTTTTTTCCTAGTTCCAATAAATGTTCTTCATGGGGCACAATTAAAGCGGCAATGGCATTTTTCGTAGAATCTCCCAGAGCGCATATGTTTTCAATAAGAGAGCAAGTCACGAGCTGGGATTCAACTTTTCCTAACGAAACATATTCGCCAGCTTGAAGTTTCACCAGGTCCTTCTTACGGTCTGGAAAAGTAACAAATGAATATGAAGAGATCGTACACAAAGTAATAAAACCAATTTCATCACCGACTAGATATAAATACAGTAATAACAGTGACCATGTATTTGTTCAAAAACCTAAATTTACTTTGAAGAAAATGATAAAAAAATAATGTCACATAATGATTGAACTGATATTTTTGAACAATTTTCGAATATAAAGGGAGTATAGAGTGCATTTCTTTAATGTCCCCCCCCTTTTATTTTTTGAACGGGTCAACCCAAACAATTGAAACTTGGGATAATGAAATTAATGCATGAATACTTTATTTTGAAGTGAAATTGACAGATGACACTTTTAAGATGGCGACTGGGCGCCATCTGGGAAAAAAAATTAAATGGAAAGGGGGGTCTTGTGCCCCATCATTTTGAATATCCTAACAAATGCTTTACAACTCTAAAATATAATGTGAATTCCTCACCTACTACAAAATGGCGGAACATTCAATAATTTCCTGAAGACAAAAACACATTAATATCCATATTTCTAGAAATATTTCTTTTTATCTGCCATATGGCAATTCCAACAACCCAATAAGGTTTGTTAAGTTATTTTTTGTTTATAAAAATGTCAGTATGACAATGAACATCATTGTTCAGTAAGAATATTCTAATTTAGTTTTCGGTTTTATTGGGAAACCATATTGTAGGACCTATATTTATTGATCAAAATTTAACAAGGAAACTGTAGGAGGCGGAACATTCAATAATTTCCTGAAGACAAACACATTAATATCGATATTTCTAGAAATATTCCTTTTTATCTGCCATATGGCAATTCCAACAACCCAATAAGGTTTGTTAATTTATTTTTGGTTTATAAAAATGTCAGAATGACAATGAACATCATTGTTCAATAAGAATATTCTCATTTAGTTTTCGGTTTTATTGGGAAACCATATTGTAGGACCTATAGTCAAAATTTAACGAAGAAACTGTACTTGAACATGCTGGAAACTACTGTTAACCCTCTCATCACTGAAATCGTGAAATCGAAGCGAATCCTAAAAAATTCGATATGGATATTGTATTCCAACAAGATGGAGCACCACCACATTACTCCAGACAAGTAAGAAACTATTGGGATACTTTTCCCGGTCATTGAATTGGCCGTCGAGATCCTAAAGAATGGCCAGCCCGCTCGCCAGATTTGACACCTTTGGACTTTTTTTATGGGGCTATTTGAAGCAAAAGGTATGCGAAACTGAACCTGCTTCAATATTGGGTATACAGCAGAGAATAATAAATATTTGGAGCGATATTGACGTTACTGTGTTCGAATATCGGATAGGCTGTTCGTATGTCAAAAAGTTCAAGGCAACCATTTCAAGCATCTTCTGAACTGACCTCAAGCTTTTTACTTCATATTATGTAGTTAAATGTCAATGTATTCAGGCAATTATTAAAAGTTCCGCCATTTTGTAGATATATTGACATTATATTCTAGGGTTGTGAAGCATTTGTCAGGAGCTTCATAAAGATGTGTCACAAGACCCTGCTTTTCATTCAACTTTTTTTCTCAGATGGCGCCTAGTCGCCATCTTGAAAGTTTCATCTGTCAATTTCACTTCAAACTAAGGTATTCATACATTAATTTCATTATCCCAAATTAAAATTTTTTGAGTTGACATGTTCAAAAAAATAAAAGGGGGGGGGGGACATTAAAGAAATGCACTGTATAGTATTTCAGGGTTTCTTCATCTCATGGACATGGAGATATTTGACCGTTCCAGTACATTCATTCATGGCTGATGTTTTGGTAGTGATAACAAAAAATGACCATTTACCAATGATTTTGAGACAGCCGTCTTTGTGAATTTCACCGATATCGCCTGTCCGGAACCACATGACCCCATTTTTCTCAAAAAAGTCATTGCTTTTCCGTTGATAGTATCCTGGGCTGACATTCTCACCGCCCACTATTATTTCTCCTCTGGGGTAGGGCTTATCCGATACGAAATATTGTCCTTCTTCCCAGTCTACCAACTGGATGTACGCCAATGTCATCGGAGCCCCAACTCGGCCAAAAGTCAAATCATAAGCTGAAAATGAAAAAAAACTATTGAATTGCTTATTTGAAAATTGTATAATTATCATCATGAATAATAATGAATATTACTGGAGTTTTTTCCCAACACCAAATCGTTATTTTTAACACTTCGACACGTGTTTCGATCACCAAGTGATCATCTTCAAAGAGGAAGATTAAAACTGAATAATAATGTAAACACTCTTTACTGTCATAATCGAAACTTGTTGAGAGAAAGTGACCAATAGATATATAGACAATCTTTAAGGTTCTTAATGATACCATTTTGTAGACAAGGTCAAATGTAATTACATGAATATTATACAAATATTTAAAAAAGAATGATTTTGTAAAGTAAAAGAAAACTGAACAAAAATATACTATTTTCTAAGGTTGCGTTGTTTTCAAGTATTGAAAATTAAAATACATATATAATAATACTTGTATGTCATTAATTCATTTTTATATTTCATTAAAAATAGTAATTGACAGTTATATTTGAACAATTTTGAAAAGTAATTCCGGGTAGGTCGTTTTTTTTCTGCGGTCGAAGTTGAAGTTGATGGGGAAACGTACTGAGCTTCCACAGCATTGTTGTGTTCAGGTTCTAATGGCGCTGGAGGCTGAATGGATTCTACTATCATTTTGTTAGCTATGGAGTTGTTGATATAAGAATCAGCAACAAGAGTTGTATTTTCCAACTCTAAATCTTCGTATTCCATTATATTCAATATTTAATAAATCTGAACTGTTTATACTATAACAATCAGCAATGAAACCATTTCGGTTGGGCAAGTTACCAGCAATAACTATGCAGTGCTTGTTATGGAAACGCCGAAATGGGCTACTTGGATATTGCACGCGAATTGTCGGCGTAGCGTTGTCAACATATGGAGAACGTGTAATATCAATCTGACATGTAACAATTCATGACTGACTTGGGTTATCGTAATAACAGTGAGAAATTATTTCTCACTGTAATGGCGGATATTTCTCACTGCGTGAGAAATCTTGGCGGATATTTCTCACTGCGTGAGGAATCTTTCGTTTTGAACGTATGAAGGCGATGAGAGAAGTGGCACATTGTATAGCATCCGTAGAATTTTTAGCTCGAAACACATGTGAACAACATTGGATTTGAAAAATGTCATTTGAGAATTATCAAGGAAATACTAAAATTCAAATGAAAAATATACCTCAATACTGTAGAGGCCTTTTTCCGCCAGGAGATCCTGAATTGCTTCAGGTCTTTGATAACTGTTATTTTCTTGTGATACCTATATAGGTACTGTTTGGAACCATTGGTGTAGTAATGAATACGAGTATTACTGGAGTTTTATCCTAACACCTTCCTCTTGAAGATGATCACTTGGTGATTAAGTGTCGAGATGTTAAAATAACGGTATGGTATTGGGATCAAACTCCAGTAATATTCAACTTTTATTTTGTTTAACAAGTGGTTATATAATTGTTTACTCTGATATATTGAAGATTGTTTCATGTAAAGTCCATTTCTGTGTTGTTGATCAGGAGGCAGAAATTTGAAGTAATTTTTCCATTTTTATTATTATTGATAATTCAACATTACAGAAGTCGATTGTATTATTATTGATAATTGATCATGATTGTAGTCGGATTTTTCTGAATGTCCATAAGATAACCATGAGTAATGTGATAATAACTTCCCCTAAGTGCTAGGTTTCGTGGAAGTTATTATAATTCAAGGTCAAATCGAGTTGTGGACTTGAATATTTCCAAGAAAAGAGATTTTTGAAAAGTTTCTCTCGCTGTTTCAGTTATCTGAGGACTGTATCAAATATGGTAAGATTAGTTTGTAGTACCCCCCGATTTTGATTCAACAATAGATTCGTTTTCTGGTGACATCTCACAATTTTAAGGTTATATAATAGTGACATCTGGTAACTGAGAAGCAGTTCCGTAAATTAATTCAATAAAGTTTTTTATAGGAAAAATGTTGATTATCGAACCTAAAAGTGTCAAAGAAGGTGAAATAAAATGTGAAGGTGATGTGAATAAATACTTTTTTTTCTATATTTTTTATACTGTAAAAAGAAGGTTAAAAATTTGCAATTTTCGGAGAGCACCAATTTATTTTCGGATTCATAATTTACACGTTAAAATACGTAAGTTCACCCAAAATTTTCATCAAAATCGAAGGGTGCAGCCTAGCCAAAATTTCACCTCGAGTTTTCAATCATGACAACAATTTCAAGTTTTATTTGTAAGAATAAAAGCTGTAAAACTTACTTTCTGTATTACAAGCACATGAACAAGTTTCCGTCAAACCATAACCAGTTATAATATCTGTACACAGGCAAGTTTTGACAAGTTGTTGGGTACCAGCTGTCAAAGGAGCACCTCCTGCCGCTATCAGTCTTAGTCGTCCTCCCATAATTTTTTTCACTGCACCAAAAATGATCCTATTGAAACATTTTGCTTATAAATTATATATTTTTTGTGTTGTTTAGATATTCATGTATGAAGTTTCAATGAAGTTATTTTCACATTACAGAAATATTAACGTTGGAGATATTTGTCGGCTTCAAATCAATAAATTTCAATAATGAAATCTATCATTACAACAATTTGTGAGTCTTATTTGTATAAAAAATATAACATCCAAATGCATCAACACCAGTTTTATTTTCGGTATTTATTGAAGAAGTGATGTTGATCTTCTTGAAAAATTTTGTACCAGAAAAAACAGCCTAAGATCATGAGTAGTGATTTTGTTCCTGAAACTGATATTCTTATGATATCCCATACTATATAATTCAAATGATTTTTTATATTTGGATGAAGCAGCAAAAGAAATCCAACTTAAATTTACCTATCTGTTAGAGGAGTTGAATATCCAAGCTGGGTCCATTTCATTTTATAGGCGCATCCGAAATTGAATAACACTCTTTTGATATCACTACTTTTACTAACTTTGTCCTGTATACTTTTTGCTATCCTATCCATGATTAGCTAAAAAATAGTCATTATTAGAAGATGTCTATCCTCCAGCCCCCCCAGAATCCAGATTAGCTCGAAAAAACATATATTGCAAGTATAGCCCTCTATTGGCATACAGAAGAGAGAGTAGAATACTCTAAGGTGAAATTTATGAATAATTCTGGAGGCGGTGGTTAGTGATTGAAAAAACAATTGTGGAGTGAAGGAGATTGAGGAAGGTGGAAGCTTGAATTTGCGTGAGCTTCGTTCTTGAAATGTAATGTTTTGAAGAAGGTCTAGGTACGACAGCGATAGTAAGCGAAGTGAACCAGTAAAAAGTGTTGTATAAGAAATGTATTTTTAAAGTTTATTTTTACATCATTGAATGAAGTTGTTGATTGATTTTATCAAGGTACCCACTATACATACTTACTGGTACACTGTTCATAAAAGTAGGTTTCAATACTGTCACGTCTCCTGCACAGCCTTTCATGATTTTGCTTGACGAATCCAGCATGGTCAGAGCGCTAGAATATCCGATAGGTATACCGTAAAAAATCACACCACTCTCTACCAGCAATTCAAAAACGTGAGCCAACGGTAAGTAACCTAGGACGACCTCGGTATCGACGTACATTTTTGTCGAGTCCAAAAAACCTTTGACAGAGTTGGTCATATTCTTGTGCAAAAGGATAACCCCTTTTGGAACGCCTGTAGATCCGCTGGTGTACATTATAATGGCAGTGTCTTTGGGGGTAGGTGGCTGACTGACTGAAAAAGAGTTTTGATAGTGTAAAATATGGTTTTTTATCGACCTTTTTGGAGTATTTCACCTTCCACAATTTGAAAAAAAAACAATTTTGATTTTTTCCAGTTTGTGGAAGTTGAAAATAACCAAAACAAGGTCGATAAAAAACTAAGTCCTAATTCCCCCCACAAAAACCGGCATTCATTTAATGTGATGGGTATCAAAAATGTAAAGAAACATTAAAGATAAAAAGAGAGAATATCTTGTAGAAGTAGATGTGTGGGACTAGAGGGGGTAACAACCTGTTCCCCAAACTTTGGCTACACGAAACAAATAGTAAGATCAATCGAGTCTTTTCTAACTGACAGGCGATGCCGCTGCAGACGAGAACAAAAACTCTCAACCATGCGATTACTGGAAGCAGGGGTCCCACAAGGTGGGACCCTTTCGCTACACCTCTTCTCGGTATACACAGCAGACGTACCCAAGCAGGAGAACAACTTTAACGAGTTGGCGCTGTACGCGGACGACACAGCTCTGCTGGCGAGATCAACAAGCCAAGCGCACGTCAGTAGATACTTGCAGCAACAGGCAGATAGATTAGAGGAATGGGCCAACCTGAGGATGTATAAACCCTGACAAGAGTCAGTCAATACTGTTCACCCAGAGGCGAGCACACCCGGAAGGAAACGTCACCTTCAACGGACATGAGACTCCGTGGAACAACGAAGCTAGATACCTGGTAGTCAACCTAGACAAAAGATTAACGTTCAGGTCTCACGTACGGCAGACAATAAGAATGGCGAGATCTGCCCGACAAAACCTATTACCAATAATAGGTCGAAGAAGCAACATGGGATTGAAAGTGAAGCTGCTGATGATAAAGATCGTAATCAATCTTGCTGAAGTGACCGTCAGTAAGTTAAGGACCGCTCCGGAGGAGCGGGGGTGGTTGGATGAGATGGAATGTTCTGCACACAGTAACCGTTTGGGAAGATTTTATCTCAGGGCACTCAACCCGGAAAGGGGCATGGGGGTGGATTTCACGATTTTGCAAAAATAAAATGTTGTTTCTGCTCAAAAAAAAATTGACAGAAATTTGACAGAAAATTACAACTTTTGAATGAGTCGCACACAAGACGAAATATTTCACACCGAGAGGACAGCAACACTATCTTCAAAATGGTAGTTGACTATCAAAACTGAGAGAAGACATATGCTTTTCAATCGTCAGTTCCAATATGTTAACTCTCAGTTATGATATGTCAACTGTCAGTTTTGATGCGCTGATTGTCAGTTCTGGTGCATTAACTGTCGGTTGAAAATTTCTCGAAATGTGACAAAATGAGTAAAAAAGTAATTTTAAAAGTCAAAAAGTGGCATTTTGTGAATAAAGTAACGCCAGAAACAATATTTCTGGGCACATTAAACGAAAGTCACTCATAGGCCTTTTTATAATGTGACAAGCGCAAGCGCGTCGCCATGTTGAAAGAGCGGTTGTTTAAATTTTTTGTACTATTTTGTGCCATAATGGCTGGGAAACGAATATTATCTCAACGAAAAATCAATCATTTAAAACAAATTACACATGATACTGTTATCGTTTATAGTTCAGTCGGAGTGTCCAGCTCATTCGAATTGAATGTGATTTAGTATTTTTCTTTGTTTAATATTTCATATCGGCTATTGCAGAAACTTACCAATATTGGATTTTTCTCCTAACTCAATAACATCACTGAAAGACTTGATCCTTATTCTGTCCTTGTAACCATCGGTTATCCTGGATCCTGTCAGCGTCTTCAGCTGGTCTTCCATGTAGATTACAGTATCGATTTTCGGCGCCAATTTCAGAATATTTTCGAACCTAGAAAGCAAACTAAAACTTGTGATGACCGTGGTGACTTCGGTCTCGTTGAGGGCGTGTGCTACGGCCTCGTCTCCGAGGGTAACGTAAACCGTGACGAGGGGAATGTTCTGCTTGAAGACGCCATGGGCTGCAATCATCCATTCAGTTCTGGTCTCCGCCAGAATGGCTATGTTCTTGAGGGGTTCGTTGCCCAGCTCTCGAAGACCGTTGCCGAAATGTAAAGCCATTGTGTTTACCTCGATGTAGGACTTCCATTTGTATTCGCCCATTTTGAACTGAAAAAAAAAGTTAGCTTACTATATTCTTAGTAACAGCTTTATTCTCCAAAATATCAATTACATGATATGAGACACGTAAAAACTAGTAGAATTCAGAGATCAAAGTACATCACACTTACAATATAAATACAAATAAATATTTTTATGATAATCATTTCTAATTTGATTTCAATTCAAGAGCCACCGGTAGACATTTGTTTCAACCTGTTGCGCATCATCAGTACCGTGCAGGCAGTTCTCGATTGAAGACAAAATGTGAAGAACCAAAAAGAGTAATTCAATATGATCCGGCCGACTGGTTGTCAGTGACTGCTAAAGGTTATCGCCCACTTGTCCGGCACAGCAAACCACGGCACGTCCCGTCAAAATACGGATAGGATTGGAACAATTAAAATGCGCCCACTAGCCCGGCACGGCACAGCCAAGACCGTCCGCCGCCGGAAAGGATTCCAGCTCTCCGATCGGAAATACTGGAAAAATTTCTCATCGTCTTCTTTCAGATCGTTGAAAAGATGATGAAACTCTCCCAGATTTGCATTCTTTTGATAAATGGGATGGACCGACAATATTTCTTTTTGTGACTATTTTCCTTGAAATCGAACAACCAGAACCTTCAGTATGCTGGTTGTCACTGGACAAGTGGGCGATACTACTAACCGTCGCCATCAGGCGACTACCTAACTCAACTACCCAATTATGTTAGGTTTGTTCTGGTTCCGTCTCGAACTGTCCCGAATCATTCTTGCCCTCGAGGTTGAACTGTTCTCGTTGCTCAAGCGCATTCATGTGGAAATTTGTTTGGGCTATTTTTTAGGATGTTTTTTCATTTACTTGATTTAAATAATTGATTGTTGAGTTAATATAACATTTGAACTGACTACAAGGATTCGCTACATAACAAAATGGACATGATCAACAGTATTTTCTCGTCTTCATCTCTACATATATACGATAGGTGGCACAGTGGTCTCCTCAAAATGCGTTCTGGTTTAACCAAGTATCCGAGACTATTTCGGACTGTTTGAAATTTTTTGTTTGTACGCACCATGTCTTGCGCAGTTTCCAAACGTTTTGGGATGTTAGANTGACATCGTCCTCTGGTGGTCAGGTTGAGTACTAAAAATTTTACGTAACACGAAAATGCTACTTCTGAGCTTCTAAGGGCTTTGTATTCTTTCACAAAGCTCACAAACTGAAAAAAACACAGCTAGATGCGTCACTGTGAAGTGATTGTTCTGTGAAACCATGCTGGTATTCGCAAATATTACTGGAGGTCAGGTAGATACGTTTGTTTGTACACGATAATTTAGAAGACCTTCGCAAAAGAGACAACGCTTGAAGTTACAATCCAAATATTCCGCTACAGATTAAAAGCCATTGTGTAACAACAGTTTTTTCACCTTTTTTTTCTGATATAATTATAATGTGGACTCAGATCGTACCGTAGATTGTTGTATTTGCAATAAAAAATGTAGGGTGTACTACGGTCATATAAATGAAAGTTAATCGATAAGATTACTACGAAAGGAAAATCTCTCAATCATTTTATAGAAAAAAAGGAGAGAATATGATCGTCATATTTTTGCGTCAAATTTCCGTTTTCATCATATATTCGATTCGAAAGTAGAGGAATTTTTTCGGTTTTCTCAACAGCATGTTAATAACCCTTAAGTTGCGAATATTTCTTTAATTCAACCCTATTCGTCTCTTTGATGATTTTCCGATATCTCCTTTATAGACATTCATATCCATAACTTATTGATTTTCGTCTAAATACTTTGTTAAAAACCAAAACTTATTTCCAGAAATACACTTTAGGCAACAGTATATCAGCTGTCCTAATCGTGTGCATGCATATGGTTACAAACTCATTTGTTACGGTTGCTGCTGTGAGATTATCCGGATCATTACCACACACACCTACACGAATAATGAACGATTTGAACTTTGACCCCATAAATTCATTGCATTCGTCCTTCAAATGCATTTGGTGTACTTATTTCATTGACAATCTACCAATACCAATATTGTGCAAATGATACTAAAAAGTTTCAAGATTGGACAGGCATGTCTTAATAAGTAGAATTGGAATCTGTGACATAAGATGAATCACAATTATCACACCAGAACTAATGACGATGATAAATTGTCGACAAGAGACAGTGCTCGAATTCCGGTGTGAGAGTGGTGTTTTCAATAGATTAAGACATACCTTTTTGAACACTTTTCCATCAGGCTGAACTTCGTCTTCTTCTGCTAAAATTTCCCGAGTACCCAAACATTTCTTGTCTCCATGTTTGTTACTGGCGTATTCCAACAGCTTCACCATAGTGTCGATTTTATGCCTCACAAATTCCACGTGATGGGGAGTCGGCTTTTTTGTACTTTTTATTGTGACTGAACCTGGACTTTGCTCGATTGGAACCGCCTGAAAAAAAATTCTCACATAAATGGCTTCATCAATGGATTCATCCGAAATATTTTCCACAATGCATGAAAGCAATGAAAAAGTTGAAGACTGGGCTGCGTTTACAGAGTTTCGTATCGAATAAATGCACTAAACCTGTTTAACCGAATAAAAGAAACATAAATCAGTGCTCCTATATCAAATTTATCATGAATTTTGGATTTTGAAACTGAGTTGTTTGAGTTTCTGTTATCGTTTTCCTTCTTCTGCAAATAATCTCTTCTATATCCCCCGTACACCAAGATCAATCGATCAAAATGCGTGCAATGCCATTATTTTAATTTGTGTGGAGGAAGTGTGTTGTATAAGAGCTCGAAAGATCCAAAGAATCGCCAACAAAAGACTAAAAACCAATCGCTTCTTGCACAATATGGTGTGAGAAGCCNAGGCCTCGAAAAATCTCATCACTATCAATTTGATCTTACCTTGTCCATCGCCGCAAGTTGTCGGACCTTCCATGAGTTTTGAATTATTAGATATATTGGAAAAGTTATGATATCACATAATAGAGCTGTTACTTGTAGCAGAGACGACAAAAATTTGAGGCCACAGCCATCAGTCGGTTTCCTGTAAAAAATAAAACAAAATTAGTGACAGTTATTTGCGAAAAATGAAGGTTTGACAGACTAATCGATAAGAACAAATGTGTAGCTCTTAAACTCACGTTAAAATAAACCATGGAATTGTAGAAAAACACAAAGTCAGGACCGGCGGAATTAATAATAATGAATTCATTCCGGAATAACATCAAACGTGACAAAAAACACCGTGAGAAGCACGAACTTTATGGTATAGATGAAATTCAAAATGAGGATATTTCAAATGACTTGTCAGATAAAACATATTCAACTAAAAATAATTTGAGTTTGAAAAGGTAAAGTGAAACTAACCCGTAATTTTGACGTTTGCTGGCACTTTTGTAATTTTTTTGCAAATCTTGTTTCCTTCATATTGATTTGGAGACCGCTTCTCGTATAAGTTTGATTAAAAACAATAATTTCAATGACGTATGCTGACATTTTGACTTCGTCAGTTTCTGTCGATCATCTGAAAATTTCAATACAGAGTAATCCTTTTATACTGTGACTAATTTTATGGCGGGTTGGCTATCCTTGTTCTCTTGTTCATCTTTCACTGCCTGAACAACTGTGCATGCTGTTTTTGGCCAACGATTATGGACATACAGGATTGCCCACTTACATATATCGCCACGTTATTTTCTTCCGTTTTGAGGTTTGTTTTTTGCCATTGTGGAACTTTTTTTTGTTTTTTGAACATGTTTAACTTAAATTAAGTTAAAAATTGAAAATATTCACATTTTTGTAAGTAATAGCAATAATTGTCTAACCATTAAATAACCTCGTAATTTATAGTTAAAATGCCTGGTCGTATTTGTGAAGTGTCAACTTGCAAAAGCAATCAGTTGAAGAAAAGTGGTGTTACTTATGTAATATTTCACTCTTTTCCTATTGCTAAGGATGTGGTTTCCACAACTTTGCAAAAAGAATGGATTGTCGCTGCAAAAGAGGGGATGAATTCACTCTCAAAAATGGATTTGTTTGTTCCAAACATTTTACAGAAAATGATTATTAAATGAATTGTTAGGGGAAAATTTATTCTATTGATTTACTGCTTAAAATTATTATGTTTTTTTTATAGGTTTGCCTTTGCGTCGTGAATTAAACAAACTGCAGTACCTAGTGTTAACCTAAATTATCCAACAATTGATAAAGAGAGGGAAGTTTAACAAAATACGAGTTGCAATATTAGAGCCCTACAGAAAAAACACAATGAAACTATCAGTATGTTACTTGAATCAAATTTGTATAATTTTAAGCCATCCACATCTCAAAGTTGTTCTTCTCCTCATAATATTGTATCT